GGCCATAAACCTCTCAGCTCCCTGTAGCACCCCCGCGTGCCACGGTACCCCCTCTCCACCTTCGCCGCCTCGTCCCAGTCTGGCTTCGAGATTCCGAAGTAGCTCCGCTTGTCGGGCGTGGAGCCGTGTCTGGCTTCGAACATCTTCAGGTCGTCCTTCAGGCATATCAGCCAGTTCTGCTCCGGGCTTCCCCGGCCCGGGTTCTCCCCTCCCACCAACTCGCCGAACATCAGCCGTTTCGGAAGCCGCCCGTCTGGCTGTCTTGCCACGGCCCCCGCAAAGAGCAGGCGCCGTTGACGGACAGTGGCCTCCACGCTCTGGCAGCCGACCCTCTTCAGCGCCTGGGCGTATGACAGCTGCCGGTAGGTNCTCCTGTGGGTGGTCGACCTCAAATGCACAGACGAATTCATTGCTTTCGGTAGGACAAGGCTCGATTCAGAGTCTGACATGCACAGATCATCGTGTGAGCACAGCACAGGTGGGACCATGTACGCGTTTGGTGTGTACCTCTCGGGAGGGGTAGCGCCCCATGGAAGTCGTTTGGCCACGTCACAATAACACGTCACAACAGCAACCTGGCAATTGGCAAACGGCGGACCTCCGTTTGTTCGTGGTGGGCTAGACAACAGAGATTAATTTCCATTTGGCAGGAGACCTACCACTTGACAGGGTAATTTCGATCGGACTACGACTAGTCTTCGAGACATGACCATAACAAAGTGTTGTACATGACCCAACAAATGCCACCATCTCTATCGAAAGATGACGAAGGGTCTGTGGTAGGAGAAAAAATGTTGGGCAGGATCATGGACGGTTGTGCGGCCCTTACTCTGCTCTCGCTGCTCCATCGGCAAGAGTTTGAAAGACGCGCGTCAACCAGAATCAAGGGGAGGGTATTCAGAAATGCAGTGTGTAGCTCGCAGCCCGCTTAGGATGTCACAGCTGAGCGACGTACTGTAGCTACGTCGAGATGCATCGAAGTTCGGACCACAGAAAACAGACATGATGATCGGCGTTTTTTTTGTTGCAGGGTGCCCCTTGCCTTCAATTCAACTACTTCAATACAGTAACTGACGCTCCGCCTGTACGCATGTTGCAGGGGCGCGGATGAGACGGTTCGGACGTTCGGACGGGATACCTTGCAGTAGGTGGGTTTCTGCCGTCTGGCACTTCGGACGCAAAGCGAGCAGCGAGCAGATGACTACCACATGTTTTGACTTTCTAGGTACAGTGATTGGCTGAGATCAACATTCCGGCCAGAAATGAGAAGAGGCGTGTCGCAGTTGTCAGCCGGCGGCTTTGTAAGCCTGCTGTACGCACACCCCTTTATGTACGACATGTGAGGCGAGAACCCGTTCCCCGACCTGGCGACGAAGAAGAGGTATGTGAACGAGACAACGGAAGTAGACTACCTGCGTACCGAGGCAGTGCTGTCACTTGGCTGCGTACCGAGTCAGTACTGCTGTAGTCTACACCTGACACCGGCAACCTCTTCTTGAAACCCTTGTTCTCCAACCACTCCGTGAAGAACACCCTTTCTACCAACCCTTTCAACCATTAGGGTTACTGGTTGATGCGATGTGCAAGGGTTCACTGGGGTGACGTTGGACTTTGTACAGGAGTACATGTAGCTTTCATGCGCACCACGTGGTCGGTGGATCAGCGGCTGTTACATGTAGACTACAGTATGCATCCCATGAGATGAAAGAAGTCGCAGCAGTGTACACGCCCTCACGGCATCGCGCTGTGTGGACGTGTTTGAATGGCGTGTTTGTATGTTCAGCCTACATTTTGTTTTTTTTTCTTAATATGACACAAGGGTGGGTCCTACGTAATTTTTTTGGACTCGAACATCGAACATCGAACAAGCGGTGTAATCATGTGATTGGCCAGGAAGGTTCAACAGCCCAAAGAGAGGTGAGGGTTTTCGAGTTTTTGTACGCCGGATCTTCCAGGGGCGATTCCGCCTAAAACTCTAACATCTTACCACGAAAACTCGAAAACCTATACCTAACCTACAGTCCCGTGGGCTATTGGGACCAAATTGGCGACAAAAAAGAAAACCCGCACGCATGCATCACGCACGTGCACCCAACACACACCACCAAAAAAACACAATCTCGGGGAGAGGGAGAACGACAGAGAGGTTTGCAGGACAGCAACAGCAATACCCATGTCTGCACAGAGCGACGACGAGTTTGCGCTGGATCCCAGGGCCCCGCGTGCACAAACGGGGCCAGGTGTGAGGTTAATCACACGGGGGTTCCTTCCCGTCGCAACCATACAGCATTGCTGGACAGCCAAACAGCTGCAGCAGTGTTGGTGTGAGTCGGCAGGGTCCCGCGGCAATGCATGTGGGCATCAGGCCGCAAGGGATGCCGGGGTTCCACCCCGCGGCTTCGAGCGCTAGCTACTATCAACCGGTGCTGTTTTTGCTGGTGGGGCTGCTTCTTGTGCTCCTCCTCCTGGCGCCGTCCCTGTTCCTCGACACTCGCATCTTTTCGAGAGTCGAGTGCCCTTGGGTTTTCCGGGCGTGGTCCAACAACGCGGGCTGTTGAACGCAAAAACGTGTGTGTGTGGGATTTTTTTTCACGCTTTTTCGCAAAATACAAAGGACCAGAAAAGTCGAACATCTTACTATCCGCTTGTTCGATGTTCGATGTTCGACTTTTGAAAAAATTACGTAGGACCCAACGAGTCCATCTCTATCATAGCTAAGAGTCCAAGACAGATTAATTAATAATGGGACTTTCAGTTCTTTCCGGTGTACGTGTTGCTTCAACCGGAGTGCGGAGACAGCGGAGATAAGCACAGGTGTGTGCAGGCCGTTTGCCCGGCGTTTATGCAGCAGACACACGGCCATCGTGCTGGGTGTTTGTTCTTCAAAACGTCTCGCACTTACAACGACGCGCCTTTGCGTGCAACCGAGAACCCGTCTTGAAACCTTGCGGCTCGCAACGAGTAAAAAACATTGGGGCACATCGCCACACATGTATTCCCAGAAATGGCGAATGGCGTCTTCAACAGCATGACGAAACGAACAGATGCAACTGCCGATGATGCGTTTCAGGCCCAATGTCAACAACTACGAAAGGCTCGCAGACAGATTCGTTCGGACGCCCAAGAACACGGGACACGTGATGTACGGCAAAAGCTGTGTGTCTGCTCTGTCAATGTCGGGCGTGGCTGGGAAGCCTGCCGCACACACATGATATGTACTAGCAAAGAAAACATGCACGCAAACAACAGTCGATGCTATAAACTCATTTCTAAGGATAGAGATGGATTTGTTGTGTGATATTCAGAAAATATAAAAAAACACATACACGTAGCCTACGGTAGATCTGGAGGTTTCGAAACCTGTGTGTTCTCCACGGGCCCGCACTGGAACGTTCTATTACGAACCACAGCAGCTACTGGTTTAAGTCTAGATATTGCATCCTGATTATCCAACAGTCAAGGTGAACCGAAATATGCTGCGTGTCTTCAACTAAACGATGAAGTACAGCGGTTTGCATAGAATATGAGGTCATATTTGGAGGAGTGGTCCTGGGCACGTCCATCATCGTCCCAGGTTGCCAACAGAATCTTTATGGTCCTCCCTCTGGCTGCCAACTCAGAATCCTTGCTTCCTGGTACGCAAAGCGCGAGCTGGTACAGCAGTAGCGGGGTCCCCCTACCGGTTGGTTACGCTTTCATACACACGATCCCCTCCTGCGGGCAATACGTCGGACGCAACAAGAGGGCATCCGTTGTGAAGGCCGACTGTCGCACTTGCTCCGGTTTGGGTTCGGGGGCTCATCGATCGGTGTATGGTCGATGGAAACGGCGGTCTTCCACGTTTCCTGCCTGGCGATCACTGCGTGGGAGTTATGTTCCTTGCCTGTTGCCGGAGGGCTGGAAATCCAGTCACCATCATCGCCACCCGCACCTAGTGCTTTTGTAACCAGGCTCCTTGGGGGAGGCACCACAGGTAGGTGATGGAAACATAGTCCAACGTTTGCTGTGAAACGGTGGCCATGCTTCCCGGCGACTTAATCTTTTCGTGGCGACACGAGGTTCAACGTGGTGTTCTCCTCACCGTCACTGCACAAAACTTATCTCCAGCGTTTATGTACGAACCGCAAGGCGGTGATTTGGTTGCGAACGCGCGGTTTGGTCAAGCGCTATAATATAACTGTTGCGACCGTAGCACGCCGCTCTTGGCACGCTTCCAGAAAGGCTATACTTGCCATCTACTGCATTATTTGCCAAAGCAGGCGGAGTTGTGATGGTTTAGACTTCCGGATAGGCGGGACGGTCTCCTGGTGGTTTAATCGCCACCGGCCCACTAGGTGGGACGGCCATCGGGAGATAAATATAACGAACGAAAAACTTTTGAGGAGCATGTGCCGTAGGAAAACAATGACGCGCATGGTACCACGTGGAAGCAGCGGCGCTCACTCCTCTGTGCAAGGGAAAAGGGAATAGGAACTAAAAAGGCCAGGCGGCTGGCGGAGATTGAAGACTGGCGGGAAAAAAGGCCGGCGGAAGCCCGGCCGATATAGGTATTGTAGGGCAACCATACCAGCATCGGGTGTTGTACTCTGTGAGGGTATCTTTCAACTTTCCAGACGTGTTTATTTGCTTGTGTAAAACATGTAGCACTTCCAGCACTTCAGACAGCATTATGCTGTAGTCGGCAATCTTCCGTTTTGGTATAGAGTGGGACAGGGAGGGGGTGATGCTACTGTAGTCGAACGGTGGGACGGACGTGCAGTTCAGTTTTTGGGCACGCATACGGTGCTGCAGGGATTGTTAGGTGTACCTCTTCGGGCTCTTGCATACCTTTTTCATGTCAGATGTGTGCGTGTTCTTTAGATCCTCAGATGGCTCTAGCACTTTCGTGACCACGGGCTGAGAGTCTGTTGCTAGATTTTGGCATTTAGCAACTGACATACGGTTTAATGTGAAGACAAACAACAACAACAAACTTCCGGTTGTTTGCGATCGAATTTCGGTTCAGAAGTTTCGTATCTCCTGCATGTATCTCCCAAAACCCCCGAGGAAAGAGAGATTTACCAATGTCGTTGATTTCCCACACAAACGTTTCTGCGCCCTTTCCATCGTGTCTCTGCCCCTGTGCCCAACATGACTATCTCCCCCCCCTTCTGTTGAGAAACCACTGTGGTGTTGCTCACACAGTAGCCTCAACACACCAAGCCCCCAAGTTACCCCAGCAATGGTATAATGTTGCTGAACCATTGTCATCGCCGACTTCCAAGTCATCACGATACTGCGGTTCTTTCAGTGAGATTCATTCGATTTGTGACTGGGGGCGGTTCATTGCCTATTACCTTTTGCATGGCGTAGGTCAGGGGTTCGAACCCCGGCGTAAGAGAGCTTTTTTTGAATAGTGAGTTTTTCTCTCGCCTCCGCTCCTGGCGTAGTGGATAGGGCTAGTTCGTGTGCATACAGAGGGAAGAGAGTGCTCTACTTTTCTCGCATTGAAAATCAAAGGTCAAGTACCGCAATAGGGGAAGGTAGTGAGGAGCTCTCTCTGCACCGTATATGACACAAGATGACACACCCCCTTGACCAATTTTCGAAGCTCGATTTCTTAACTGCAGGAGCAGTCACAGCGCCGAAAATGGCGGCGTTGAAACCGTCTCGTCGAGAGCTGTTCGAAAATGTATCGTTTCGTTTTTGCATCCTCTTCGTCGTGGAGTAATCAAGCTTTGAAAATCGGCCCAGGGGGTGTGTTATCTTCTGTCATATATGGTAAGTCCACGGGCTGGAGTAAAACGGCACTGGTGCAGTGAGAGCTGATTTGAAGTGAAGACAAAAAAAGAAAGTTCGGTTGTGCGAGTATGTTGTTGTTGTTGTTGTTTCTCACATCAGCTTAAAAAAAAAAAAGATTGGGAGCCCGTGGTCTCAAAACCCGGCATACACGACCCCACGAAGAAACAGAAAAAAATAGGGTACAAAAACCACTCGGAAGAGAAACAAAATGATAGAAAGAAAGACCAGCTACCGCACCAAACGAGAAAGAGCGTCGAGGAGACCGATCAAAATAAAATAAAAGGAGAACGGGGAACGCTTCCCACACCCGCCTACAACGCCGGAGGGTTCCGTGCCGGGTTCCCGCCGACCAGGCATC